ATATTAAGAAAATATTCTTGAACTCTACCTACAGCATATTTTCCCATTTCCACGTGCCCCCTCTACAGATCCTTAAACTAATCAGTAGCAAGGCTATTTTATGATTATTGAATGTTAAAATAAAAATAAATTTTTTATAAAAGTTAATAGATATTTAATTTTATCTTTGACGTGAGATTTATTATTATTCACAAAGATCCAAATCTTATAATTGATTTTCTACTGATAATATTTAAAATAAGTCTTTATATAATATTTGCTTATATTATACAATTTTAGTGTTGGATAGACTTAAAGAGTAATGTAAAGACAAAAAGTGTCGAGTACAAAAAAAGTTGTAGAAAGACTGGTGGAGGGGACAATGAAAATGAAAAGACTGATGAATGTTAAGACAAAATTTTAAATCTTATTGGAGAGGTGCCTGTCAATGGTCATCCAAATACTGCTGAACCTGCTGTGAACTTTGAAGGTTTCCAAATGGTTGTAGACACTGAAAGGCTTGATGAGTCTAAAGATGTTTTGTTGTAAGTAACAGATATTAAAACAGTGTTAGATAACAATATATTAGACTATTATTGTTATTAATTTATTATAAAACAAAGTTAAAAATCGTTCAACAACATCTAAATTTTAAGTATACATTATGAAAAATTAAAGCAGCTCTTCATTGAAAGATCTAGAAGTATATAAGTATAAACATTTTTGTTTTTATAGGGTATATAAACTATCAATAAGTTAAATGTTAAATGTTTACCTTGCTTCATTTACCCTTACACCAAATACACCACATTCTTTAATTTCATTGCAAATAAAATCATTCATTTTCTTAGCACATACATCAATAATAGTGTTCTGCACAGACCAACTTGCAGGGTTGGTTTTTTAATGAAAATGATTTGCAAACATTTCATCAAATTTAGCAATCATAAGGCAAGTTTCTTTAAAATTTCCTAAAATGTGTTTTATAATTTTAAAATAAGAATATTTAAACAAATTTAGAAGTACAAACCGCTGTTTATAGAAAGCTCGTTTTTTCTATGGCCTCTAAAATCAATTCCTCGTTTACTTAAAAACAATGTTATTTCAATTAACTGCATCATGTAGGTTCTGTTTTCTTTTAACTGTTGCATACTTGCAGAAACAATTTTGTTATGAACAGATCCATATTTTTGCATTGAGCTGTGATCTGACCATTTAGACATTGTAGTTAAATGATGTATACAACTATTATGCAATTCAAGTTTTGTACAATTAACCTTTGAATCTCTAAAACCACTTAACTAAAACAATAAAATAAAAACTCATTCACGGTTAAGAAATAATAAGTAGTGATGTAGAACATACAGATATACAGTGTATACCCAGATATAGCGTTAATTGTATAGAATTCTAAAATCTAAAAATTATTATTAAAAACTTACTTTTTTCCAATTGTCAAATCCAATACTAATAAATGTTTGTTCAACATGGCCAGAGTCATTTGAAAATAAGCGAAAATCTTAACAAAAAAAGGCATAATTTTTAATGCTATACTCAATCCATGAAAATGTTTTGTAGTGGGTACTCGAAAATGATCTGTTTTGTTGTCCAAATTTAGTTTTTGGATATACCTAGAAACATATTAAAGAATTAACTACCTACACAATTAGTAATTAAAACTTAAAATTAAAAATTGTATAAATATAAATTATGACCAATACAATAAGAAGAGGGAATTTGAAAAAAGTACTTACTTTTAAAATTGGGCTCAAATTGCCCGGAATTTAAATCGCCAAGATCTAAATATCCACTTGTGGTATTATTGGTTTTAGATTCATCATCGCTGTTGACAATTTTTATGTTAGTAGCAGTAATGATAAAAACCGATATATTTTTATCTACATCTATTTTTGTAGAAACTGTAGAACTTCTAGAAGTAGTCGTGGATTTATTTTTGTTATTGAAAATGTTGTATAACTTTTTACTTTCCATTGTTAATTTTTTTAAAACGTTGAAATAAGTTTGAATGCACTGTGATCATGTAAAATGAACGATAGACTAACGTAAACGTGGATTGTTAACTGTTCTAATGAAAATTACAAGCGGATAATATGTAACCAAAATATAAATGAATTCAGATAAGGGCACTAAATGGTCGCAGGGAAAGATCTAGTTTGTCGAATTTAAAACAATAAAAATAAACATTTAATATAATATAGAATAAACTATATATCAACACGTCATGTCACGTTACTGGGTCTAAGACGCCTGCGATGCATCGTAGCTCGCTTAACTTCAATGGCCGTTGTAGACGGATGTGCGTGCGGAATGTGTCGAGCGTTAGTCCTGCGATAATACCTACCAATTCCGATTCGGATAAGCTGGTATTTACGCTGCGCGCTTGCTGCTTTTAAACCGCCCTGCACCAACCCATGGGGTGTATATGAGCTTTCACCAAAATTGCCTCGGTATTGTCTATAAACCGTACGGGGTCCTCGGCTCTTGTTCCGGTGAACTCGAGTAACGATGCTCTTGCTGTACGCAAGTCCTTGTACGGTATTAGTACCACTTAGTTTGACCCATATAGTCGTTATCAGTTTCTCGCGTAGAACAGCGGTCTGTTGTTCGCGGCCGCAATGTGGCTTGTGATTGTTGAGCGGTGTGCAAGGTGCATAGGTATTTTTTTTACGTAAATTTCGTGCGATGGCTACGATAATTTTTTTTTTTAATATTTACGATTACGTAAATAGATCAGCCCAAAATACACCAAAATATAAATAGATCAGGGCTTTCTGCCCTGACATTTGATTGAACAACATTGAATGATGTGTTGGTGGATTAGAACAGCCGTGCCGCCGTGAGCAGGCGAGCCTCGGACGGGCGGCAGATCATTCCTGTATGTGAAGAAGTTTCGAATGTGAAGTTTGGTAGAAGGGGGTAGACGGGTTTCGTTAAGTAGAATTATGTCGGTTTTGAGAAGGAGTACGAGGGAACGTAGTTCGTTGAGTTTATGTTTGATGCCGTTGGAGTTCCAAAAAAAGCATTTTTAAATTACTCATTTTGGGGAGAAAAAATGGACAGGAAAGTTTTGATAGTTGTTTCTATAAGTGTTTTTGGATCTTGATTGTTTGATAGTGCAGTCAATAGGTTGGTGAGCAGGTTGAGTATTGTTGTCAAGTTAAGTTGAGAGAGTGTGGGCTGGTTTGGATGTAGCTGTGGAGTATGTCAGTGTAGAGTTTTGTGGGGGAGCTGGTGGTGGAGTGGTTGAGGATGGAGATACCTGTTGCTTTTGGACCAAGAATTGGGGGCAGCCACGGAAATTGACGGTGTGCGGGCCACCACAGTTGCAGCATGTCGGGGATTCATCGGAAGTTTTGGGGCAGAAGTTGGCAGTGTGGTTTCCAGCGCGTTTTAAACATCGCGGTGGATGAACACAGTTACTCGAACCATGGCGATGACACGAAAAGCACCGGGCCGGGCCGGAGGGTTTAAGTGGTTCATCTGAAATTTGTAGATAAATCAAGTTATCAAGAGAAAAAATGTCTTTAGCCGTATGATTGGATGCGATGTGTACGGCACATATGGGCATTGGTTTCTCCGGAGTTCCAAAGCGGCGGACGTGTTTTACGGTGTAACCCAGGGATTCTAGCTCGACCTCGAGTTCATGGTGTTGCCAGGTTTGGAAAGAGGGATGATCGTACCGTGTCTTCAAAATTATCGTATTTCACTTGAAATTATCGTATAAAATAAAAACAGTGGATTATAATAAGAATAATACATTTTTCACACTAAGTCAATACAATATGTCATAATACAAATATCAAGTCACTAATATAATAATAATAAATTGTATACAGTGCACAATAAATCATATATATATAATAATAATATTTTTTTTCACAATATGACATACGTCAATACAATATTATGCCATATACACAATACACAAGTCTTTACTATAATAATTACTATATAAAAACATTTTATAATAGAATATCAGAATAATACTTTTTCACAATAAGTCAATACAATATTACAATATGTCATAATGTCATATACATAAAATATCAAGTCACTTATATAATAATAGTAATTTCACAATAATTTCACAGTAATTTCAAAAACATCAATTTATACTGTCAAAAATAATTTCATCAATAAGTATAGGCAATTTATGTATGTGTATGCAAGACTATGTAAAAAATAAACAGCGGAGCACGTACGTATATTATATTTACAAAAATAGTAATTATTATTTTAAAAATAATTTGTTTTGTAATTAATATTTACTTACCAATTATATTATCCAATGGGATTTTATTTTCAATAAAAGAATTCAATAACGTGTTGTATAATATTTCAGCAGTAGCACCTTTCTTCGCACTTTCAGGGTTAATTTTGTTACCAATTGATTTATTTCCAAATCATAGTATTTAACACAAATTGCCATATTTTTAACTGTTCCTACATCCATACTTTCATCAATAATAACACTAAACTTGTACTTCATTAATTTACTTGCCAAATCTGTATGATAGCATTTCCCAATAACATTTTTTTGTAATTGCCGTTGCTTTGGTACGGCCAATACTCAAACTTTTTGCTATATTTGAATCAGTAAATGCTTCTTGACATAATTTACTTAGATGGTCTATACTATTCAATGATAAATTATGCTCAGCTAAAAAGCCACATAATAATATTTCGGCCCTTTTAATTTGTTCTTGAAGTTTAATGCTTTTTGGATCAAAATAATTATTAATTGGAGTTTTTATATTTTTGGTTGAACGGACAGATAATTTATGTTTTTGTGAAATTTGATGTTTTTTCAAAACTGTTAATTCTGCTGTTAAATAAATAACACATAATTTACATTTTGCTTTAAGTGGGTCACCTATAACTAGAGCGAGCCAAACTTTAAAATCTTGATGATCCATCCATTTTTTTCGAAATTTTTGTGTTTTGTGTGTTTGCAAACGTTTGGTTAGGTTTGGTTTCTCGGGAATTCTATAACTCCCAAGCCACCTCATTCTTTCACAAAAAATCTCTTTCAAGATTTAGGCATATACGACAGATTGGGCGTGAAGAACAGCTCGCACCCTCTCGAACCTTCAAAAATCCAAAAACACGTAATATAAACTGGGTCTCAGAAAACCTACCCTCTTAATCACTTTAAACACAAATTGTTACCTAAACCTCCACTACTACTAAAGGCACAAAGCCTGGTATAGAGAAGACCCTTGGTCGCCCACTAAGCAAAGCAAAGGATCGTACCATCTGGCAACACTGAATTGTTCATCCGTTGATATGTAGTGGTGTGTAATTCACGAATGAATCAGTTCACTGAATTGATTCACTTAGGTGAATCGAATGAATTGATTCGGTATCTACGAAAGAGTTGATTCACTAGTGGCAACACTGTAATTTGCGCTCTTGAGAGTGAATCAGGGAATGAATCAAGCTATGGAATCAAGGGTGAATCTACTATCTTCTATCAAATATCTTGTATCTACGAATCACGATTAATGATATAATACGAAATGCTACGAAATACGAATAAAAGAATTAAATACTCATTGTTTAATGTTTACTCCTGCATCAAATTCTAGCCAAATTGAATTTTCTTTTCCAATATTGTTTATCACAGCAGGAACACTTACATTTTGGTCTATGGTAGATCTTAACTTTGTGACTATCAGTTTACCTTTGTTTACTATAATCTCCTTAATTTTTTTAAAAGACTGTTAATTCTGAAAACCATATTCTTTGAACCGTCTAAAAATGTAGCCTCGGATAACAGTGGATTCGACTCATACTGGAGATAATTTCCAAATCTTTTATTTATTTCCAATTTTAATTTATTGACCATATTATTTACTTGTGGAGTTAGATCTTTGGTTGGTAATTGTGTACTATATGTTATCAATGCTCGACTGTACAAAATTACTTTAGAAATTGATACACTTTTTTCACTACTCAGATCTATGGTTATTTCCTTAAACCGTTCCAATATATCACAAGACTGTGTCAGGGTATTCCAATCGTTCAAAGTAAATTCTACGTCACGATTTGAATTGGACAATGCGGATATTATTGGTGTCTTAAGGTGAACAAATCTTTGGAACATATCAAAAGTAGAGTTCCACCGACTAATGACGTCTTGGATAAGCATCAGCGTTGGAGTAAAACCTAATTGCTCTTGAATCTTATTTAAATTCTCAAATGCATTCGTACTTCTTTTAAAGAATTCCACTATTGATTTTACCTTTTTCCTTGTTTCATTAATTTCATTTAATGATGATTGTACTATTAAATTCAAATTATGAGCAAAACAAAAATGTTGACCCCACTGACATAAACGCACCGCTAAAGAAATATTGGCTGCATTACCTGATGTACACGCTACGATCTTTTTACGAAGACCTCAATTTTCAGTGATCTCGAGAAGTGAAGATTTGAGATTCTCGCTAGTATGTTTTTCTGAAAACTTGAAACATGAAAGTAAATGAGAATTTAACTCACAGTTTTCATCTATAAAATGTACAGTTACGGCCATAACTTTCATTCTTCAATGACGTCCATGTATCTGTCATAAGTGAAACAAACTCTACATTCCTATTTAAATTAGCCTTTATTTCATCATAAATCTGATTATACTTAATAGTTAACAATGAGGAAACAGTTTTCCTTGAAGGTAAAGCATAACTTGGGTTTAATAAATTTACGAATTTTCTGAACTCATCTTCTACTAAAGAAAATGGTTGGTACTCTTTAACAATTACTTTTATCAACTGTTCATCGAATAACTGTCTCTTTGTTGCACTAACAGGCCGTGACAAGTAATTTGAAATTGCCAATTGCTGTGGACGTACTGGAGGAGCTGGTGGAACTAGAAGAGCTCAAGTACTTGCCTGAATAATTAATGGTGAAGGATCTGGTACAGGATCATCGGGATTGTCTACTAATTAATCAGGAACACAAACTGCTCTAGGACGAGGAGCTAAATCAATGGTTGGATGTCTTGTTCTCATTAAATTTGTAGAAGATGAGCGATTAACTTTTAATATAGTTTGACATTTACCACATTTTGCTTGATTGTCATCCAATCGAGTAAAATAATCCCATACTACATGTGAGAATCTGGTAGTTTGTGAGACTACAAAAAACCACCTATGACAAAAGGGGAACACTTTTGTCGTGACCTATGAGCCGCACCGCGTTATGAGCCGAGGTCCAAGTCGGTGGAGCTCATAGGCTTTGTTACACGCAACGGCAAGCTGAATGCCGAGGATTTATTTAGGGGAAAAAATAGAATATTAAATAATAAGAGTAGTAATTTTGCTATCAAGATATATATAATAGTTAGTTGGCATTAAAATACAATTATAATTCTGGCACATGGCAATTATTAGAATTACAATAATTTGTCAGTTTTCTCGGCCCACGGGAGGCGACACACCATATTACTCATGGTGTGTCCTCACAGGGAAAAATGCAAGTGCCTCGTACAAGCCGAAAAATTACAAAGTAAAGGGGGAACAGGGGGAAAGAATAAAGAAACATTTTACGACTGATGACATCGACGACGATCTTATTTTTGTAAGTTATTTGTGTGCAGTCATAGGTATTGATAGTTAAACAACATACTTTGTTTTTAAGTATAACAATTTAATATGAATCATAAAAA